GAAAGGAAAGGAATGCCCAGGGATGGCAATGAGAACACAGTCGGCGGTGGTTCTCAGCTTTGGTGCACAAAGAGCAGGATCTGGCCAGGTCATCACATGACAGAGGATGTCCTCTCCAGTCCAGGGCCCACTGCACCATCCCACAGACATTTTGGTGGCTCTCACCTATCTCAGCAGCCACATTGTCTCCAGGGCTCTTACTGAGCTCGTGGGTCTCCTTCATGAAATCACTAGCAAATATTTTCAGGACTTGCAACATACATTTATGTATGTATGTATGTATGTTAACCCAAGCACAGGACTGCTTTATATCTATCCCACTAAATCTCATCTTGTTAGCTTTGGCCTATTGATCCAAACTGCTGAAATCTCCATGATCCAGCTTGTGTCGTATGGAGCATAGTGATCCCCTGGCTTTGTGTTGCCAGGAAATGTTCAGGACACCTTTTTACATCTTCATAGAGCAGCTGACGAAACCTGGGCCAGAGGAGGCCACGCACACAGCCCTGCACCAGCAGCATTAGCAGCAGCGGCCCAGCTGCCCGACACAGGTCCAGTCATTGTGAGTGGTGGGCTAATATCCTCTGGACAGTCGCTTAGCGGGCTCCTAATCCATCCAATGCCATCTCCATACTGGCCACGTCTTCCCCTGCAGTACATGGTCATGTGAGATCATCTAAAACACATGCCTTACTTAACATTTATGTCTAATGTTTGACAATTTTTAAATGTCCTTTCTACTATGGTTGTAGAATGTAGAGTAATTAAAGTTGTCCCTGAAGAGATGCCTGGCGTCATCATTCCAGACAGAACACAGTCAGTGCTGAGGTTCTTCCAGCCCAGAGACACCCCGAATATAAATCCAGGGGGCTGCGGCCTCCCTATGGCAACTGCCATCCACAGTGCTGGGAACCAGGCTTGAAGACCCAGTGTCCCCGGGGCCTGAGAGATGCAGGCAGCGTGATGTACGGCCCTCACTTTTAATTACCCTAAACTGGAAAGCCATGGCTGAGCTGGCCTGCCTGTCCAATAAAGCACCTGTGTGAGCAAGGGCCTGGGCGTCCACAGGGATGTGGTGAGTTATGGAAGCGATAAACCAGCCTCCCTCCCTGGGCAGACAGCAGGAAGAAAAATGCTTCCCAGTGGGGGCGCGGGGAAGCTGTGTGTTCCTTTAAACATTCAATTACGCTATACAAACAGATTTTAAGTAAACAGCCGATCAGCACAAATTAGGGATGCTAGAAGGCAAATAAAACAGATTCCCTGAAACAACTATTATTAAAATTCGGCCCTGCTCGGTGGACTGGTTCACCATGGAAGAGTTTCCGAGCACGGATAATTAGGTGACTCTCTTTCAGCATTAGCTTCAGAGTATAGCTCCTATGACTTAAGGGACTGGGGCCACTTTTATTTAGGTTTTCATTTCTAAGTAGATTTTACATTAAAACAGATTCCTAGATATTCAAAGACAATCTTCAACGAGTAGGCCTATTTTGCCCTTTGGAAGTTTCTGGAAGCTTTTAAAGCCCTTGCAAAGTAGCCTTTCCCTGTTTTCTCTTATGAACTGTAAATACTTCAACCTTCTTTTCAAGAATTTTCAAGCTTTTTATTTTCAAGTTTTTTTCCCCTTCATAACAAAAGGATTTTTTTTCTAATCTTAAAGTAATATTTTCTTCTTGTGAAACATTAATAAAAAAACTCGCATAATCGTACTACTCAGAGATCCATGTCATGTGTATGATTTTAAAATAAAAACTGACTGCCATGTAAAGTATTTTCTAACATGATATTTACATGGATTGCACTATAAATCTCTTTGCAATGATTTAATTCCTCATCATTTTTAATTATTGAATAGTATTCTGCTCCATAGCTGAGCCATAATTTATTTAATTGAATTCCTATCAATGTACATCTAAGTAAAACACTCTGCAAAGAATATCCTTGAACACAGGGCTGACTGCTGGCCCACAGGCACTGAAGCAGCACGTCAACCAGATTGGTCAGGGGCCGTTCAATTGGTCAGGCCTTTTTACTATACTGGTTGTTAAATATTTAAATAACCTCTGCTTATATTTTTTATCATTGGGTTCTTATAGCTTTATTTGAATAAGCTCTCTGAGTTGGTCCTATTGCACCAAAGGGCTATGCAAATTAAAAATTATACTATAAACAAGTGATTTATACCTTTTATGTCTGATAGCATTAAAAGCTAGTAGCATAAAAGCATTCCAGTTCATTTATAAAACTGTAGATTTTTTTGGTATTCATTGCCTCAAAGGAATTTTCCATTTGTAATAATGCGTAGACTCTTTCAAAAACAATAGTCATACAGAAATATTTTGGGAAATGCATTATTTAAATAGTAATATTGGCATGCTCTGACTATGAAAATATTACTTTTAACAGAACGCAATTCTTGAAATTGGTACAAGTACTATTACTAAATAAAGCTATAGGACATCATAGGAACATATTTAAACATGCTCCATGTGTGTGTTTTTTAAAAATGTCGGCTGACAAAGCAGTTGGGAAGAGAGAAACAAATTGAGAAGAGATGGTTTTATGTTTTCAACTTATCTAACGTCAAGATTATCTTATATGAAAGGCCCAGGATTGGAAGGAAGCACATTAACACACCTTTTAAAATAACATTGTATACTAATTAGTCCTTGTTCAATTGTCCACGTATATTTTACTATCTGCAGCTAACGGAAGATAAATCATTTTCTGAGGGAAGCATGAATGAGGCTATTAAACCACTTTCCACACTCAGAGGACCCGAGGGACTCTGAGAAATCATTTCTACCTGGAACAGCATGTCCTTCACGTAGCTAAATGAAGACGTAGGATATAAAATCACACAAAGTCTACAATCTCAGAAAGACAAAAGCAGCAGAGAATTACTTGTGAGAAAATCATCTGCATTAGCATGCACCATGTCAACCAGGGTCATGCTCAGTCGAAGGAATATATATTTTTTTTAATTCTTTGTTCTTTTTTTTTTTCCCTTACGGTGTTCAATTTTTTTTGCTGGTGTTCCTTTTATAGTAAAAAACAAATAACTTCAGGATTTTATTAAGGCTATTTCCTCCCCTCTACCTGCAGTCGAAATACCACCTACAAAGTTTAGGATCAGCCTCCCCCATGCTGGGCACCATGTCCCTGCCTAACAATAGGGTCAGTCACAATACAGCTGCCAATCATGGCAGCGCCTCTGAGGGCATGCAGCGCAGAGGGAAGCCCTCTCTCTGCTCTTTCAAGGAATACCTAGCTTCCTCCATGGAGATATTTTCAGAAACACGTAAGAACAGTAATTTAAATTAGATAAAGAGGAATGAAGGGAACGGACGGAGGATGGGAATAGGAAAGACAGTAGAATGAAAAGGATACAACTTTTCTATGTTCTTATATGAATACACGACCAATGTAACTCCACATGATGCACAACCACAGAACGGGATCCTAAGTCACACCGCATGTATGTAGAATATGTCAGAATACACTCTACCTTCATGCTTATTTAAAAAGAACAAATAAAAAATAAGAAAACAGAAGCAACATTTATAAAAATTTAAAGGCCCCATAATATTGTTACATAAAAGCCAAAAAAAGAAAGACCATGAAAGTATTGATTTTCCTAAGAGAGCCATCAGAAGCAGCACACAGTTCACTTGTTCAGTATGTGTGCTGGAATCTCTATTTGAAGATCATCGGCACCAGAAATGCTAAAACACATTACTTATTTATTATTTACAAAGCTTTAGATACATCTAATGGTGAGGGGTGCACATGTAAGATAAAATATAAAGAGGCATTTTTGCCCTATTTTCAAGTTCTGAATAAAGTTTGGTAAATATTGTCTCTACCACACAAATCAACAGTATTATTCTTTAAAAACATATACATTGAGAGAGAGAGAGAGAGAGGCACGTTGTGGATCCCGAGGAGGAGGGCACATGATTTTATGTGACTCTAAGTACCCATGGCATGAGATGCCAAATGCTAGGGTGGCCTTTAGTGGTCTCTTTCCTCTGACTTGCTCAGTACCCTCAAATCACAGTTCTGATGTCAATAAATTGGTCTGACTTTTTATATAAAGATGCTAATTTGAGTTTGCATGATATATTTATTCATTCTCATATTCATATTCTCTCTCTCTCTCTCTCTCTCTCTCTCTCTCTCTCTCTCTCTCTGGAATGCCTTCCAGAGGATTCCCATCCACACTGCCATTTCAGCAAAAAAGGGTGAGAAGAAACCCACACACTGGAAGGGTGAGCGGCCATTTAGCATCAAGCACTGGGAAGTTGACCGACACCTCCACCCGCAGATGCTGTCCAGAAGGCCTTCCTACTTGGGTGCTGATCAAAGGGAATGTGAAGGGCCCCTCAGAGCTGAGGAATTTGTGGGGACAGCCAGAGCATAAGAACCGACACCAACAGGAGCAGACACAGCTTCTCTGGGAGACCATGCAAAATATGAAGTGGTACCCATGTGCTCCGGAATAAAACACAAGACCATTTTCTGGAAATTTATATAATTTTTCCAGGAAAGAGTCAAATTGTAAGTAAATAAATAAAGTTAATACCTGAGGAGACAAGCTTTGAAAGATAAAATAAATTCTTGGTATTTCCTAGGGACGAAAGAGTTTCTACCTGTTTGAAGCTGTCACACAACTTGGAAACTGACCTAGGGACACTCTGAATGAGCAGAGGATGCTTAAATTCTTCCCTTGAAAAATCAGACTGAACCAAAGAAACATCTGAACAATGAGAAAACCTGCTGAGTTACCAAGTTCTTTTTCAGAGTGATAAAATTCTTTATTTTTCCTCTGGGTAACTGTTTAAAGTTAACTTCATCCTCAAATCTGAATCTGGATTACAGACCCATGCATAGAGTCCTGCTTCTCTAAACGCCAACATAACTTACACAGCACTTCCCAGTCCACGCTGTCTTAACTTTGTCCGGTCATGCCATAAACAAGGATTAGCTTGACTTACTCATTTCTTTCCAGATTTATGACCAGTTCTCTGCTTTCCAATTGCATGCGAACATTCAACACTTCTGGATGATCCTGAAAGATAAACAAGAGGAGTTGGTTGAAAAACATTTGGCTCTGACTTACCAATATCAGGCTATGCTCCTCTGGCAGTCAGCAGAGAGAAACATCCACGTTCCCCTTTGGAACATTCGGAGACTTCAAGTACAGAAGAGCAGAGGAGCAGCTGGAAATGTGACACCAGGCCCTGACATGGCCTCTAAACCCCTTTCCTTCCATCACATACCCTAGGGCCCCTTCTCCATCGCACACGGCCCATGGATTCCTTCCTGGATCCTCCTTGTCTCTATGAAGGGCACCTTCCTTTCCCCAGCTGCTCATATGAGAAACTAGAAGGTGAACTTTTTAATTACCTTGTGGCCCCCTCACCCTCACCAACTCCATCTAATCCAAGAGGAAGTCCTGTTGAGCAGCCCCTGAAGTTCCAGTCCTAGTGACCAGCTCAACCACAATCGTCTCTCACCCTGGATTCCTGCAAAGCCTTCCAATTTCCTCCATGTCCACCTATGCTCTCTTCCTCTTCATTCCCCAATGACAGTGGAGGGATACCTTTAAAATCACCACCTGATCAATCCACCCATGCTTAAAACAAACCACACTGACAAGACACCAATGCTTTAGCATGGTCTGGAGCTCACTGCCTCCACATCCACCTACACAGCCTTCTCCTCGCTCACCTGGTGCTAGCCCAGGCCTTGGGAGCTCCTCTCCCAAGAACCGAGGTGCAGTCCGTTCCTAAGGATGAGTCCACCTAAGAAAAGCCAAATGCCATGGCAGCCCTGTGCACAAATTGAGTTTCTTAGCAGTTTAGGAAAAGTGTGGGGGAGGCACCCCCCAGGACAGGACCGCTGCCTTGTGGGCCTCTGGGTCTGAACATCAGCCCAGTATGCGCACCACAGGTGACCACTGCCTTGCAGATCATGGACACCCTCCTTAAATCAGAGCTGAATTCAGTGGCATTGGCTCTGTCTGCCTTTGCTTTGTGAATTCTTTGGGTTCTATGCTTTTATGAGAGCTATGAGAATAAAACTTTATATGTAGTTTTCTAATATTTTGTATTTGAAAGGCAGTATTACTACAAGAATCCAAGGGACATTTTATTTTATTTTATTTATTTTTGGGGGGGGGCAGTTGAGGAGATTTTTTTTTTCTTTAATTTTTATTGTTGGTTGTTCAAAACATTACATAGTTCTTGGCAAATCATATTTCACACTTTGATTCAAGTGGGTTATGAACTCCCATTTTTACCCCGTATACAGATTGCAGCATCACATCGGTTACACATCCACTGTTTTACATATTGCTATACTAGTGTCTGTTGTATTCTGCTGCCTTTCCTATCCTCTACTATCCCCCATCCCCTCCCCTCCCATCTTCTCTCTCTACCCCATCTACTGTAATTCATTTCTCCCCCCCCAAGGGACATTTTAAAAATACGATGTTTCAACTAGATGACGAATTAACCATCCACATGTGACACTTAAGACAAAACGAACTGCAAATTCCAAATAGCCGACATTAAAAAATTAGTTAAAAATGAAACAAAATGTGAAAAAACCCACAAGTGAAGGTCCCATGAGTTTTGGAGAAATGACAAAGCCTACATTAACTAATGCACATCACTAGTGTGGAATTATAAAGCCCCCATTGTTAGCGTGGCCCTCTGACATCTTCTTGTGGCCTTACTATGTCTAATATGGTAGCCACCAGCCACATATGGCCATTTAAATTTAAACAAAATAACATTCAGTTCATTGGTTGCACCAGATGCGTTTTAGAACTCAGCAGCTGCACGTGGTAAGCAGACAGCACAGATGTGGAACCCTTGCACCTGCACAGAAAGGTCTTATATTTTGTTATTTATATATGACAGCAGAATGCTTTACAATTCTCATTACACATGTAGAGCACAATTTTTCATACCTCTGGTTGTATACAAAGTATATTCACACCAATTCATGTCAGACGGCTCCGAATGAGGCTCCCTCACCTGCAGGGTCCATTTGCTTCCCGAGTGGGGGGTCTTCAGGGAGCATCAGCAGGTGCAAACCCAAGGTTAGGGTTTCATGTGCCTGGAGGTGGCTCTCCTACTTAACTATCATCATCCATATAAATTATTATCTTCTACATCATATGGATCTATACATTGTAATGATTTAAAATAATATCCTTTTAGTTGATGGATGATATTATTTTAAATAATGACTTGAACTTGAGAGTTAAACAGGTGAATTCCCATATATATGAAATGTTTGTGCACTTTTCTGGGTTTTAGACAGGATTTTTTAAACATATTTTTTAATTTTTTTTTTTTTACACAAACACAGTTCTTAGTTTTTGTATTTTGACACTGTCTGGTGTTTATAAGAACTGCATGGATTTCTGGTGTTTGCTGAACTTTTAAAAATTAATATTACTATTCAATCCTATGTAACATTAAACACACACCACATCCTTGTAACAGTTTGCAGAAATGTTTTTTGTTTTGTGTCAGGGATTTTTCCCTATATACTCACTGACCCTCAGATTTAATTACCAACACTTACACCATGCTTACCAACACTTCATGAGTAATACAAACTCATTAATCATATCTTAGAAAAACAAGATTATTAATTAGTTTATAATAAAATATCAAACAAAGTCTCAATATTCTGTCAAGAGGTGCCCAAACACCATATGTATGTATCTTCATCTAACTGTTTTGCATGTGTGTATATATAAATATTACTTTAGTTACAAATTGCATTTGCCTAAGATATTGACACATAAAGCACTGTCTTAAAGAGAAATCCTGACAATTGTATTTATAAATAAAAATAAAGTGCTGGGGATATAGCTCAGGGATAGAGCAAGTGCTTAGCATATATAAAGGTCTGAGTTTGATCCCCAACACCACTAATAAATAATTTGCAGCACCCTTTAACCTGAAATAAGTGAGCTATTTAAATATCAATATTTGTGCTAATTCTACATCAACGTCATGCCAACGTCAACATGTTTGAAAGAATACATTCCCCCCCCCCCCAGGAAGATGAGAAAAATCTCTCTGTGTATATCTTAGTGGATGTATGGAGAGTAGAGGAGAAATCCAATGGGGACAGGGAACAGAGAGCTACATTATTTCAAAACCACTAATTGCATTAGACCTCTTAGCTTAAAAGCATGCATTCATCCCACTTTCTCTTGATTGTTAGCCACTGGAGATAATGAACTGTTGCTGGTGAAATACACCATTTCTATTTTTTAAAATGATATAGTGATTATCCTAATGGAACCGTATTTGTGCTGAATGCCTAAAGAACTGCATTTACTGAATAAATCCATTAAGTGCTAATCAATAGACCAGATGCGTTTGGGCAATAATTATAATTCTATCTTTTAAGTTTGGAAAAGTAAATCTGAAGGAGTATATAAAAATGTGTGTGGCTTTAGAAAACAACAATAAAATAATTGCCAGGGCACTTCCCACCCAGCTGAAAGCAAAAAATGACCAAAATCTCTGAAGCCCTCTGGGTGTGTCCAGGTGGGGCCTCTGGGGTGGGGTGTGCTTATCTTTGCCTTATTAGTAGATGAATGTTCCTTCACTCCATATCCTTCTGAATGTCTGGCAAAACGTAATGTCCGTCAAGACCAATCTGCCGAGTGTGATCTTGTGCCCACGGGTTTCAGCGTCTGCGTCCCTGGTTAGTAAGGTCTTGTGTTCCTGGGAGCCCTGGCTCTCCTCTTTGGGAAAGGCCAGCTCATGCTTTGACCCTGGCCCTTCCTCCAGTCTCTGTCCATTGTCTTGTCCCTGTTAACTTGTATCTTCTGGATGCTACTCCCGCGTCTGTTACGTGGGTCACAGATCCTCCTTGTGTGGCGTGTCCTTTCACCCCCTTTCCTGTGTGCTGGTGAAAGAGTGACGTCATTTTAATAAGCCCCTTCCTGATTTCAACGTTTGTGCCTCATTGGAGAAACTCTTCCCTGCTCCGAGGTCAAAGAGTGGCCCGTGCCGCCCGCCTGCCTCCTTCCCGTCCCCCAGCTCTGCCTTGCCCACTGCGGCTTCTCCCCCCACTGGGCTGGGTGTAGAGCAGGACTCCGCTTTCAGAGCTGATCGCCCCAGCACCACGTGGGAAAGCACCTGTCTGCCTTTCCCACCCCGTCGCGGCCCGTGGTGTCCCCCGCTCTATCACGAGTCCTGGCATTGGGGAGGGTGGGTCTTCTTGCTGTCCCCCGCAGCACCCAGCCCCGGCCTCCAGTCTTCCAGCTGCCCTTCTTGGTGTGGAGAAGGCGGCCCTCGGGCTTCTCGGCCAGACGGGTCTCTTCTCGACAACTGCTTTCACGACCTTCCTTCTCGTCCATGTCCGTGTTCCACGTGACCGCAGGAAGTGTAAGCGCAGGCTTCTTTCATTTCTTCTCTTCTGCCTGTCCTCCTTGGGAGAAGGGAATGCCCCCCCACCTCTCTTCCTCGTTCCCCTGTGCACACCATCTTTCCCAGCAGTGCTGCGCCAAAGGCAGGTGGGAGACAGACAGCAGGGAGCGGCTCAGGACTAGGGACACACGGACAAGAGGGGCTCAAGGCCAGGGCTGGGAGCAGGGCACCATCAAGAGCAGTCAGAGGGCCAGCAGGTGCTCCCCAAAAAGGGCCCACAGAGAGCTGGGACAGGGGTCTGTGGGGTGGACAGAGAACAGGGCCAGCTCCCATGGGATGCTTGTGGGCAGCAGTGAAGGAGAGATCTGTGCAGAGAGGACCACTGGGCCTTGGGGCAAGTTCTCTTCAAAGCCAACGAAAAAAGTCACAGCAACACCAACAGCTTCCTCCAGAGGCTTAAGGAAGACGGTCCTTAAATTGTAAAGGGACGAGGGAATCTGGGTAGTTTCCCTATTGTATGCCTCTTCAGCGCATGCACGAATGTGCTGTACGTGTGTGTGTCGTGTGTACACAGGTCATAATGCAGGCCTCTTCAACATCCCGATTCCTTTTTTTTAATTTAAAAAAAATTATATATATATATATATATATATATATATAT